CACGGAGCAGCCGGCACCGGATGGCTCAGCATCCCGGGTGGCACCCACAGATGTTCCCCAGTTGTGAAGCTCCGTGGGTTGGAAGTTACCAAAACACTCATAGAATCATAGAAATGTCTAGGTTGGAAGAGACCCTTGGGATCATCAAGTGCAACCATCTGCCCTACTCTACAAAGTTCTCCCCTACACTGTATCCCCCAACACCACATCTAAACGGCTCTTAAACACATCCAGGGATGCTGACTCAACCACCTCCCTGGGCCGCCTATTCCAATGCCCGACCACTCTCTCTGTGAAAAATTCTTTCCTAATGTTCAGTCTAGAACGGTTCCTAATGTTCATAGAATGGTTTAGGTTGGGAGGGACCTTAAACACCATCCAGCCCATCCCGTGCCACAGGCAGGGCCACCTCCCACCAGCCCAGGTTGCTCCAAGCCCCGTCCAACCTGGCCTTGAACACCTCCAGGGATGGGGCAGCCACAGCTCCTCTGGGCACCCTGCGCCAGTGTCCCAGCCAGGTGCTCCAGCCCTCAGAGCCTCTTCGTGGCCCTCCAAGTTATTCCGCATTTGTCCCAGTTTTTCCCCTTATTAGCTGCTCGCCCAGTTTTTGCGCCATCAGCAAAGATTATTAACAGTGACTTCTTGAGAACTTCAAATGATTCATGGGAGCGCTGAACAGCATCAGGCCAAGCACCCGGCCAGCGCATTCACTCTAAAAATACCAGCGCTGGCTGATTACTCCCTAATGACTATCCTTTGAGATTTGCCAGTTAGTGATTTCTTAATCCATTTAAATGCGCGCTCCATCGATAACGCTTAGATCTCATTCACCAACCAAGATACCACGTTATACCGAGTTCGGTGCCTCACAAAAGCCTAAGCCTATTATTTCTACCTATCTCCTTTCATCAGGCCAACTGACGATCTCAACGGCAGGCCGGCCCCCCCAAGCGCCCCTCTCCAGGTGGGTGGTGTGACCTCTGGAGCTCCTGGAGGAGGGCAGCAAGCGCTCGGAGGTGGCAGCGGGATGGGTTTCTCCACCCGCACACCCGCCCTGTGGCTACATTCTCAGATGTTGCAGCCTGCGAGGATGCTAACACGCTCTAGGGATGACTTATCGCGGAGTATGACCACGTACTTAAAGAAAAGGCTGCTTTTTTGGGGGAAGGCACGTGAAAGGCGGTTAGGTTCTCACCCTCACGCCTCTCCCCTGAAACAGTCAGAATATGCACAATGAGGAAACTACGAGCAACAACTTTGACTCTGTGGTCATATCCAGGAATTTCACTGTGCACAACAGCTACCAGAAGCTGCTGCAGAGAACCCACGTTGCACGGGACACACGTGTTCTTTGGGGCCGTGCCAATGGGAGCAGCGTTGACTCATCACCGCCCAGCAGCTCCTGGTCCTCAGCAACCTCCGTGCAAAAGATACGGCTCCTGCAACGCAGCAATCTGCCCGCTCTACGCACAAAACCTGCACCAAAACAGTCATTAAAAACACAGTAGAAACACTCAGGGAAATGCTTCCTCTTTTCCGAAGCCCAGGTGACCCCTAACCCTCAGCAGCCATCACCAGCAACACACCAGCCGGCCCTTCCCGGCCGGCACCTCCAGCAGCGCCGGACCGTTCGCCAACGGAGAAAACGACAACGTGGATTCTTTCCATGGGGGAGAGGTAAAGAGAGCACCTGCCCTTCATTTAATGGCCAGCCCAGCCCGAACCACGACACCGTGACTCAGCCCAAAATCCTCTGTCCTGCACTGGGAAATTAGGTGCCGAACCCAAGTTTTAAAATCCATTTTACGATTACTGTATTAATTCCTGATGTGCACCTCTCGGCAGAAACGGTGACAGATGGCATCCTCAGGAGAAGGACGCTG